GTACTAAATCAGATGCTCAGAACCTGAGACTTCTTGTCTATATTTTAGATGTCTTTCTGCTCTTAGCACTAGCCATAGTTGAGATAATGTTTTGTTTATTTATTTGAGTTTTAAGTAACTGGTTGTTTTTCTCTTATAGACACAGTAAGTCATAATTGAACATATTTCCTTCTTTGCTACTGATGTTAGTAAGCTCAGAGACAAATGTATGAGTCTAGCAAGTGTACAGAAGCTCATGGGATGTGTGGGGAGACAGCTTCAGTCACAGGCTGATTCTCCCCTTGTCCCACTGCCTCACTTTGATTTACAAGCACCCTGTGCAGTCAGCTTCATAACTAGCTCACAACCTCCTTTCCACTTTACTTAATCCCCAAAATAGGAATTTTTTTCAAAGCTATGCATTTAAATTTTTTTACAAAGCAACCTTATCACCTTCAAAGTCCTCTCCGTTACACTTACAAATCTGTGACTCCATTCTTGAAGACACTTTTCAAACTCATCTGTTTGGATGGCTGACAGCAATTCCCTTGTTTTGTTGTTGTTGTTGTTTTCTTAACCTTTTCTATGTTGCCAAATCACTGTCCATTCACATTCCTCTTCATTCACAGAAACAAAAAGAAGTTTCATGGAGCAAGGTCAGGTGAGTCAGGTGTGTGGGGCAAGAGAGGCATGTTTTTTGTTCTTGTTGTTTGTTTTTTGCCAAAAACTGGCACACTGAGATAGTTGCGTGAGCAGGTGCATTGTGGTGGCAAAACCAGTCCCCTATCTGCCACAAATCAGACCCTTTTTGTTGCACTCTATTAAGCAATCTTTTCAGAACCTCTAAATAGAAAGGACTACGAGTCTACATTTTTATCCATTTGGTAAGTTGACGGATGTTTAGAAACAAGGTTTGTCATCAATCAACATTTTACCTCTTTTGAAACGACAAAACCACTGGTACATTTGAGTTTTTTCCACAGCACTGTCCTTCTAAGCTGTATTCAACATCAAAACAGTTTCTGCAGCATTTTTCCCCAGCAGGAAACAAAATTTCACAGCCACAAGCCATTCCTTTAAATCGACTATCACACACACAAAAAACCCCCGAGGTTTGAGCAAAACTGGTTTTACGGAAAAAAAATCACTGTGAGCAGAGAGAACCTTCCCAGGCCACTCCGCTGGGAACACTAACAGAGAGCCTAGCAGGACAAATGAAAGCTCCTCCCAGTGGAGCTTTGTTCTGGTTTATTGGGGGGGGGTACCCCCTCCTATGTTTTCCATGACCATCTGACAGAATACTTCCTTCCACCTGGCATTCCTTCATCCTGCTCTCGTTACCAGCAGTCATTCCTCCAGCTGGCCTCATAGACAGAGTGCTCAGCTTAGTCATCACCTCACCCACAATCCTCCTGACTCCCTGCCCTGCACCTGGCCCTTTGCTGTGAATCACTGCCGCCATTCCGACTGCTGGTAGCATATCCAGAAAAATTCACTGGACTCATTTGTTCAGAAGACGGAAACTTTAGTGCAGTGGTGGCACAGTGGTTAAGCACTCTGCAGCTAGCGTAAAGTTCATTGGTTTGAACCCACCACCGTGAGAGAAAGATCTAGTAGTCTGCCACCAGACAGACTTATAGCCTTGGAAACCCTATGGGGCAGTTCTACCAGCCAATAAAGTTGCCATGAGTTGGAATAGACTGGATGACAATGTTTGTTTTGTTTTTTAGTGCCTGGAAACATAAATACATGATAAAGGAAGGAGGAACAAATGAAGTGGTGTGAGATAGAGTCGATGAGTCAGAATAGGAACCAGAAGGTGACCATTGGACTTAGCAATGTGGAAGCCATTGGTGACCTTTGTCAGGAGCAGGGTAGAAATAGCTTGATCATACTGGAGGGAAATGCAGTGGTGGGGAGCAGGGTTGAGAATCATCAGAATGGAGGTGAGGTGGAAGACTGTAGGGAAAGGGTGCAGCAGAGACATGGACCAGAAGAGGCAAAGAGAGAGAGTCAAGTACCCAATGATAGGACAAGTCTGAGTACTGCTATCACATGGTGTGCCCTAGGGCAAACACAGGGCCTGTCCCAGAACAGAAACACACGCCCATTGTCAGAGTCCATTACGACTCCTAGTGAGCCTCTAGAGGGTTTCTGAGGCTACAGCTCTTTATGGGACCAGAGAGCGTCTCTGTTCTCCTTCTGAGTAGCTGGTGGGTTTGAGTCACCAACCTTGCAATTAGCAGGACAACCCTTACCCAGCAGGACCCCGGCATCCTGAAACTGTCTGATACAGATGAAGGCAGTAGATCTCGGAGCAAGTATTCAGTATCTGGAAATCTTATTTTGGGGAAAACCTGCCTCTTTCATATAAGCTCCTACTGCCTTTATCTCTTATTTAGGATCCAGTGTCCACTGCTTTTATTTCTATGTTTTGCTTTAGATGGCCAAGTCCCTGCCCTATGATTTTTAACTCTTACAGCCAACTCGGAACCCTGTGCACAAACATGTGAGGGGTTTGGTGTCACTGCTTTTTGGGTTTTGTGATTCTCTAGCTTATAAGCTTATCATCATGCATTACACACAATTCTAACAAAGACAAGCACTTTGTTTCATCCAAATTTATAAATACTTAATTTTTTTTTCTTATTAACCAAATTAGACAAGTGGAACTCACCACCCCAAGAGCACTGTTGTCTTCTGTTCAGGTTTCAATGCCTCTCCTTCTACTCACGACTCTCCTCTCTGCCTTGAACAGCATTGTCATTGTTCTGAGATTTACCTTTCAGCACCATGTCATCCATGCACTCTTTCCTGACCTCCATCTGCCCAGCCCCTTTTTGCCTCGTGGTGCCCTTAACCAGGCATATCATTCTATTGAACCCATTTGCTCATACAAGGAAACTTCAAAACATTTGTGGGAAAATCCATTGTCTTTAAATTCCATTTTTCCACAACCTTTTTAAAGTCCCGTCATATGTCTGCATATTTGAGCCAATGGATGAAAATTCGGCCTATATCTTGGTTTTAAAATAGTATCTTGATTTTTAATTTAGCATTATATCAAAAGCATTTTTCTATTTGTTAAATTGTTTTGAGGATATAATTTTAATAACTACATATTTCATTGATTGGGTGACTGTATCCATTATTGGCTATTCAGATTGTGATTTGTTTGTTTTTCAGTAAAAGTTTATGACTATCTGTCAAAAACGACATTGAAAATGTCTCTAAATGATTATTTTTTTTAAATAGTTGCTTATTTATGGTAGGACTACAGCACAACAAAGCTACATTTTCAGGAATTCAATTAAAATTAGTTTACAGAAAATAAAATTGAATAACTTTACTAGCATTGAAAATCTTTCTGCATATAACCTACATTATTAAGAGTACCGAGAATTCAGAGTTCAAAGTTTCTTGTTCAACCTCCACTTATACCTCTCTATCAATTGCTCTTCCAAATCAACCTCATGTGATAAAATATAAGGTTCCATAATTTGGGTGGAATTATAGAATACAGAGGGGTGGGGAGAAAGTACTAAACATTTAAAATTTCATGAACAGTTTAGAGATATATGAAGAATATTCAAAGAACCATGGAAATGTATATTATTTTTAAAATTACACATGGATTTCAAAATTTTTTACAACAAACAAACTTGGCCTGACTTCCCCAGCCATGAGCATTTATGTTCTAAGGTCCCTGTAACAACTACTGCTGACCAAGGGCTAACAGTGCAAGGTCAGGGTGTTGGAGGTGAACCCTTGAGGGAAAATGTGCCATGAACTTTGTGAAATCACCTGGGACTAAGCAAAATGCCAATACATGTATTTGGTGTGGAAATAAGCTTTTGTATAGGTGCGGATGCTCTCCCGAGAGCTGAGTATATAGTCATTTGATTAAGATGGGTGTTATCTCAACTTTACATTTTAATAAAAACATAGGCACCGTCCTAAGCTTTATGATTTATAGTTTGGAGACTGAATAATATTGCTTTGAATTGAAATATAGACAGCTTTGCACAAGGAGTCAGAAACCTTGGTTCAAATTCTAGTCCAGCCAGCTCCCAAGCTATGAGACCATTGACATAGTACCCCAGGGTCCTGCCTTCCTTCACTAAAGCATCCTTGCAGATTGAACTGCAATGAAGAAGGTGTAAGTGCCTGAAAACTAGAATGCAGCTTATAAACATAAATTGTCTCATTGTTCCTAAGTGAGCAGATAGCTCCACCCTGAATGCAGCCCATTGGGAGCATGGCATTTTCATCCTAAAAATGCCTGCCCACTATTTAAATAGTATATGGATACTCTGGGGAGCCCTGGGAACCTAGTAGTTATGCATTGGGCTCTTAACTGCCAGGTCAGAGGTTCAAAACCACCAGCCAGGAGAAAGTAGGAAGGCAGGACTTCTACTCCCCTAGTGAAATGCACATGGGCGTTCTCCCCTGCCCTGCAGGGTCGTTGAGGCAGAATTAGCTCCAGAGCAGTGGATTTGAGAGGGTTTGGGTTTTTTTTAATTTATACTTTGGGTTTCAATGTACATATTTTAATTATTTCATACCATATAATGTGTTCTGAAATTAACTCTGCTTTTGTGTCTACAGTATAGAGTGCAATGTTAACGTCCCCAAAGCTTGGCTGCTATAGTTTGTCATCTGTTTTATAAAATTTGAATTTAAAGAAAGTAAATACTTAGAGAAGGGAGATAAAATTAGAAATCTGTGGGGGGAAACACTGGATACCATTTCTTAGGGAGTTGGATAACTCTGAAAGTCTTTTAAATACATAACACCTGTTTAATTGTAAGTTTCTGTAAACGTATCTGTTTCATAAATCCACCGTAGCCGCCTTGGTGTGCGTTCTCTAAAATCCCTGAGGAGGTAGTTAACGGATGGCTGTTGGAAGACAAAGTGGACTGCTTAAGTTTCCGAGCCTGGTGCCTGAAGGGAGCTATCCATTGTTACCAAAGCCGGGCTCTGGCGTCCACGTCATTAACCATGGACCTGCTTTGCCGCAGATTCCGAGTCAGAACAATCCCTGAGTCGCCTGGAAGTGGTGAGGGCGCGCCCGCTGGAAGAGGAAGGAGGAGAGCCCTCGAAGGGCAGAAAAGCCAGGATGTCTGAGGGCACAGACTGTGGCGGTGGAGACGCCCTCTCCAATGGTGTCAAAAAGCACAGGTAGGCCACCTCTCCCCATTACTCACTGCTCTCTTTTGATCAGAAAGCCGCTTGTGTTCCTGAAGAGAGTGTTTTACCTTCCTATTTTTCTCTGTGTGGGTTATCTCTATTGCCACAGCTCATCAAAGAATTGATTGAACCTAAGTGTTTTCCCTTTGGTCCACGGCAGACGAGAACCTCCTTCGGAACGCCCGGAAGCAGGAAGGGAACATTGTCCGAGCGACCAGGGTTTTAAGGAGCGTACATGCCTTTGGTCGGCTTGTTCCCCGGGCTCTTCCGAGCTGTTTGTCCAAATGGGTGCTGGGTTCGTTTTTGCATCATACATGTTTTATGACTCTGCCTCCCAATGCTATTTTCGTTTCTGGTCATTTGATCTTCTTGTTCATTTTATTAAGAATGAATGGTAATATTGCCAACCTGTTGACACAACGTTGTTAAATTGAAACAAAGATGTTTCATACAACCCAGGTCCTGCAAAATAGGCCTGTTTTGTGGTGTCTGATAACCTTAGCATGTTCTTCTTCCCTTGGTTGGCTCATCCTAGAGATTGTCCTAGATTCATGAGACGTAACAGACACCACGGCTCTCCGGTGTCAGCACAAACTGTGCGGACGCTGTGGCTTTGTGAGGGCGAGGGCTGCCATTCATGTCAAAACACGTTCATACAATTACCAGTGAACGATGCCTCTACTGTGATTGTAAAAATCACTTCGGGGGTCAGGAATTACGAAATATTAGTTTCAGTTAAAATAGGGGGGTTTGTAGATTGTGTAATCTCACCCCCATTTCTGCACCATGATTCTGGCCATGAGAAGTTTCAAATGCTGTCGAGCTGAGGAAAAAATGTACAGATCCCCTCTCCGATGTGTATATGTTTGTCCCTGGTCCACAAACATGATTCTGTTTGTACTTATCCAGAAAAGTTCAAGAATGTTTAGGTAATTAACTTGATAAAGCTTAACGTGTTCTTTGGGTGGCTGGCGAAGTCCTGTAAATGTGCTGCTGACAGTTATCCTTTGACACCATTGACCGTCGTGCAGTCTGGGGACAGCAAAGTCTTTCTGGCTTCCTGTGCAGTTAGGGCTAGCCCTCTGGGAGGCCAGGCTAAATTCTGTCCTGGAAAGGAAATACCTGACTATGCACCTGGCAGGTCTGCCAGTCGCCCTGTCTGTTTAACTGAAATACAAATATGTTCATCCATTGAGTACAAAGGTGAAATCGTTGAGAAATTGAAAGAGGCATACAATGCGAGATGCAGTTGTGGAAGAGTCAGCATGAGTGCTTTGCGTAGATAACATATCCTTTGCCTGCCAGGTGATTTCTGGACTCCTCCTCGGGGCAGGCAGGGGTCCTTGTCTGCCTGCTGCAATCATGCAGCAGTTACTGTGCTTCTGCCGGAAGTGGATTACGTCATACTCCTGTATATTCCATAGTCGGTCCCGAGTAAGGTACAGAAGTGAACGCTCAATAAGTGAAATCAGCTCACACCACTAAGAAACGTTAAGGCCGTAAAGGAGGTGCAAGGTATGCCACCTCTGAGAATCCGCAGGCACCCGTGAGCTTTTCAGAGCAGGTGGAACAAACTTAGGCCATTGTCAGCCTTCTGATGGTGTAGGAAAGTAGCCGTGTCCAATTTTACAAACGGAGCCTTTTTCCTGTTTTTCCCACAACACGAACTCAGCAGAGACAGAACCCTAGTGAGACACCAAATTCTTGCCTTCAAGGCAGGTTGGATGGAGGATAAAATTAACTTCTCATTTCAGTAATTAAATAATGAGTAACCCAGGTTTTGCTTCATATATTTGGTACTAAAGCTCTTTAAAATCTTATAAATTAACAAATCAGTCTTTAGATTAAAAAGCTTAGATTAAAAACTTAGACTATATAAAATTGAATTTTTTCATAAGGCTCTTACCTTTTTTTTAATCTCTGTCACATCTATAGTAAAACCTGTTAAAGTGGCTAAATGAACACTTATTAGCAGGCTCATATGTTTTCTCTGTGGCATAAAAAGTAAAAGTATGTACATTTAAATTATGCTAAATACCTACTAACTCAACTTAATATCAAAATTACCTAAAGGTCTTAAAACAAATCATACTTACTGTTAAAATAAAGTATGTTGAAATATTCGAAAATTTCATTCAAACTTTTTGTTTGACTTTTCTAATCTAACCGTAAGCACTTTAAAATTTTATCAACTGGACTCACCCTCAGGAAGGGAACACAGAAGATACCGGTGCTATAGCAAAATGTGGCGAAGAATTTTGATGGTGCCTGGCTGTCAGATAAAGAAAGCGTCTTGGGTCTTAAAGACTTGTCTCCAAACAAGCAGCCATCTAAGTGAGATGTCAACTAAGTCCACCTGGAAGAAGCACACCACCATCAGCCACCAAAGGATAGGAATCCATATAATCAGAAGTTGAAGAAGAGATCAGTATCAGAGCCTAAAGTGTGAGAATCTGGTGTGCAGAGGCGATGGATGACAGTGGGACCCCAAGGTTCATTTGTGGAACTACACAGGAAATAAGCCTCTGAGAACTCCCTCTGTCTACCATTGAGGGATGGGAGGAAAGTGGTCACTAAACAGAGTGCTTGGGAGGGAGGAGTATGGAAGATCAAAGCCATAAATCTGGCCTGAACAGTTAAAACTTTGTCAGTAGACCCCCTATGATGTCGGCTGGACCTGATCTGGTTTCCAAAACGTTCTGTGTTTCGGGTTTGTATTGTTTTCTTCGGTTGTGTTTGTTCATTGTAGAGTGCATCTCAGGTGTTATGTCAGTGGGGGTCACCCCCTCTTGAAGCTCTTTTATATGTTTTTCTGGTTTTTTTTATATGAAACCCAGGACTGATGAACCTATAGGGACAACAAATAGAATAAGGGGTTCAGGGGGAGGGGGGAGGTATAGTGGTGGGGGGGTGTTGTAAAAAGAAGACAATGTCAAAGAGTCCATGTAGAAAAAAGAATGTTTGGAAACTGACTGTAATAGCAATTGTACATTCTACTTTATTGAAATATGGAATGATATATGTATTAAATCTCAATGAATAAAAAAATGTATCAACTGGTTGTTGGGATTCAAAAGCCTCTGCTCGAGCTGGCCAGTCCATTGATACAGCTGCCATTGCTAGGCTGCGTTGAATTGATTGCAGCACACAGTGATGCAGTGTCTCATCCAACGAGACACTGCCCAGTGCTGAGCCATCCTCCCGGCATTGCCGTGTGCGAGCCCTTTGTGTCAGCCACTGTGTCCATCATCTCATGAAGGCCATCTTCCTGTCCCAAGCGTGGGGCCCTCCCCAGGGCCTGGTGCCTCCTGACAACATGTGTGAAGTCCCCGTCAGCCCCACTTTTAAGGAGCCTTCCAGCTGTACTTCTGTAAGAGAGATTTGTTCTCTGAAGTCACACGCTCAGGTAAAGTAGTCACAGATTTCCCCAAGGAAGCAAAGGTGTGACTTGGTTCATACCTTCTGCTTGTCAGGTCTGACTGTCACCCTAATCCTGTTCATTAGTATAGCAGAAAATGCCTTCCAAAGTGCTAAATAGCCACAAGCATACACCCCCTTGGAATTATAAAACCTCACATAAGAAATTATGGTTAGAAGGGCCATATTATTGAGTACAACTGACCCCCAAGAAACTATGCTTTCCTAAAAGATGTATTTCGCCTTTCTTGGTGTGTTTTATAAACAAACTCAAACCAAACTCCATGTTGTCAAATAGATTCTGACTCCTAGCCACCCTACATAGAGTTTCCCAGGATATTAATCTGAAGAGGAGTAGAAAGCTCCTATATTTCTCCCACAGAGCAGTGGGCAGGTTTTGAACCACTGACCTTCTGGTTTGCAGCCCAGTGCTTACCCCAAAGCACCACCAAGGATCCTAGATAAATCTGTAGTGCCTGGGAAAGTATTCCTGCAACCCAGAGAACACTACATATATCTGACTTCTTTTAGAAGAGCTTCTTCCATCTTCTCTTGTTCCTCCAGGCCTCAGTCTCAGGGAGCTTCCTTTCCCAGCCTCCTCTACCACAGGGAGCAGTTGGAAAAGCAGAGAAACATCAGCCCTAGGCCATGTCATATGAACTTAGTACAAAGTAAGGCATGCTAAACCAAGAAGTTTCTTTTTAGGCTGATAAAAGTACAGGTGGAATTGGATTTTAATCTATCCACGTGATAACTACCAACAAATGACGTCTTCTCTTACCTAACTGGGTAGCTTGAGGCATCATTAAGGAAGAGGCCGAGCTAAAGGAACTTGCTCGCTATCTTCTCTGAGATTCCAAAGTGAAGGCCCTTGTCCTATACTTAAGTTTAGAGGTCTTCTACAAGGTTGCCCTGCGTTGGCACTGACTTTGGCAGTGAGTTTGGTTTGGGTTTACAATGTCTTAATAGTACGAATTTTGTGGAGAAAGCATGGCTTTTATTCATTTTGAATTACTGATGTGTGCTTCTGCTGCCCAGTGGTCTTTACCATGGTGCTGTGGTTCCTGTTGACCTATTATGTTAGTTCTAGAGAATGTTAAAAAGTTACAGCTTTGCTTGGAAGACCTAGAACCCTGAGTAGAGCAGGGTACAGAATGCACAAAACAAATGCGCCACTTGGATAGCAGTGGTTTTTCCCAGAAGATCAATCAGGTTGCTTTCGGAAAATTGGCCTACACTGGGGTAGATTGATATTTATAGAGCTTCTTGTCATCTTGGCTCTGTTCCAGAGGCGGAATTTGCTACGTGTGTACCTAATTTATTAACTTTATTCTGTACTCTTCTAGATTGTTAGCCGCTTTGCCCCAATGTATGTGAAAGAAATATGATTCTTTCATCCTTGTCGCAGGATGTGGTGTAAAAGATATGAATATAGAGCAGATGAATCAAATCTGGAAGTTTGGGTTCATATTATAATTTGTAAATGCCATTCACTATATTAATGTCATTATTAAAGAAGAAGCACATGATCATCCTAATGGGTAAAAAAACATTTTAATAAAGTTAATCATGCA